ATAAATAAGCATTATTTTTACAGTTAGCAAAATGTAGCAACCTCCGGGGTGAAATGAAGCAGCTGCTTAACAGAGCACAGCTTCCCTGCAGGGGGAAATGTGTACTTTAGTCAACGGAAACCATAGGTACCAGTGTTAATCAAAACATGTTTCAGGTAAAGATCATAATGTGTGTTTTCACAGCATTAATTAAGAAAGCAAATGATTATCTGGAGGCAAATTAAAATGAGGAAATTGTTTGTTTAAAACTTCTACGGGACAACCATTACCCATAACTAGTCTCATAGAATCAGAGAGGAAATAAGGGATAGGAGAGAAGCAGATGACAGATACACACAGGGATGTAAGTTTGCATAGTTTCACGATTTGCACTAATGAGAGAATAGACCCTTGGTTTTTTAAAGCAAATCAGGGGAACATATTGATAATTCGCGTTGTTTTCTACTCCCCAAAGAATCTAGCAAATATGATTTTGATATAATGAGACTTCTTTAAGAGAGAAATGTATTCACCCTGGCCGATTGGACTCAGTGGATGGAGCATCAGCCTGTGGACTGAAGGGTCCTGGGCCCTGTTCCAGTCAGGGGCACATGCTCAGGTTGTGGGCTCAATTTCCAGTACAGGGTGTGTAGGAGGCAGCTGATTGGTGATTCCCTCTCATCATTGATGTTTCTGTCTCTTTCTCCCTCTCCCTTCTTCTCTGAAATCAATAAAAATATATTTTAAAAAAGAGAGAGAAATGACTTCAGTCAAAATGTTAAGGAAATCTCTTCTTTCCTTTTTTCAAACTATTTTCTACATTCCTGTTTGTGTCTGTACCACAACCATGACATAGGGATAGAGGATGAGACTCCCCCCTTTAAATGAGATGGCTAAAGACTTTATCATAAACAAAGTAGTGGTGTATCGTGTGGAGTGATTTGAAACATGTCCTCAGCCCCCAAATATGCCACCAACACACCTGAAGTTCCTCTATGCTGGTGGGCTATACAATGGCTGTCTGGGATTTCTTTTTGTTTTTTAGACTAAAGTTGTTTTGGGGGATGATACAATTATCCCTTGGGGAAAATATAATAATTAACTCCATAAGGCAACTGATTTTATTAGATCCTATTCCTGTTTTGCAGAAAAGTCTGAGGGAAGTGGTGGGCAAACAGACAAAGGAAGAAATTAAAATAGAGAAAAGACCCAGAACCAAGAAAACATAGTCTTTGGGAAAGAGACACTACTCCCTCCTTCCTTACAGGGAGAGATGCCCAATTGGGCTCTTCTCAGAACACATTGAAGATGGAAGCGAGAGCTTGTTTCTAGATCACACAGCTTTTTTCTTGCCATGCCTGTTAAAGTATTTCATACAAGCAACTGGAGTTGACTTCAGAGGAAACCCTTAAATTCAAAAATCCCAAAGGGACTCTCACTCTGCTCATTAAGGCCTGATTTACTCATTCTTTCTGATTGCTTGACTTGCAAAAGAAATTTGTCTTTGCTTCTTTCATATTATACTTGACCCCCTTAAAGAAACACTTAAATTATTATTAATACCCTTCATAGTTTTGTGCTAACTCCCACATATTTCATCTAAGTTTCCCCTTTACTTTAATTCGTCTCTGTTTTTCCATGTCACTATCAGCTCCCATTTTGATTGATGTTTTCTCCAAGGGGGTCACACAGGAACAGAAGTCAAAGGTGACCTCCCTCCTCCAAAGGAATAATCTAACTTTGAATTCTTCTCATCTCTTTAAACAAATACAATTGGTCAAGTCCTCTGCAAATTTACAATGATTCCCACCATCCTCTTGTTTCATGAAGCACGCCACATTTACAAATGTAAATGAAAGAAAGAGTAAAGAATCTAGAAAGATCATCGAGCTCCATTTGGTCATTTTCAGCTGGTTAGAAACAGAACAAAGGCTTCCGGTTTCTAGGGTACTTGTCTGAACTAATACACAGGACTGTAGGAATGCATAATGCAGATGAAAACAATAGGAAAAAGGGTCAACATGGCCACCTTCCTTCTCTGAATCCTGACACTTGGACTGGGCAGGGATCCACCTGCTCCACCATATGTCGGCACAGCAGAGAACTGACGAGCTCCTCTCTTTGACCTTCTGGGAGTCCTACCTCAGATGGGATGGAGCTGAAGGCAACAGCTGGCATGCAGATGTGCCAATTCACCCACCTTTAACCAGCCTGGGCAGAGGCAAAGACATCTTTGAATGTGTACCCAATTCCATGTGGTCAATCAAGAGCCTCTGGTCTGTTTGATGTCTCTGGGACCTTTGTCTTTCCTTTGCTTGCAGGCTGATGGAAACCGACTGAGGGGGATTTAGATGTGGTGGGGGAAAAGAGAGGGTTTGAGACTGGGTCAGTATACAAAGTCAAATCAGATGGATAATGGGTTGTGTGATCATCCTGAGCTGCTGGCTTAGAAAGCAGTTTTGCAAATATACATATAAAGGAGTCATCTCATTGAAAGAAAATGAGGCAAGACCTGGCAGATGTGACTGGAAATTGCTATGAACTACATAACACAACACGGGAGGCAAAGTTACACACCCAACACCCACTGGAGAATGAGCAGAGTCATTTTAATGTATGCACATAACTTAGTTCATATTGTCTTACACCACGTAAGGCAAAAAGCACATGTAATGTTTATCTTATCTGCAATCCTGTTGCTGACTGAGAGATGGGTAGGCTCACCAGACTGAAAGCTGAAATATAATATCAGAAACAGGCCACTTACAGTTTGTATGTACTTTCAGATTTAGATTTGTTAGAGGAAAGTAATAGTTTTTATCTTTTCAAACTAATTACCCTAAAATGGATTCAAAAGGGACTTGGAAAGTGAGTAAAATATAGCGCAAGTTAGACTTTGATGCCAGGATCCACCATCTATGTTTTGTTCTAGTCTCCACTCAGCTGCTGACCCACCACATCACCCCCAGCGTTGACTAGGGATTTGCTTAACCCCACAATTACTTAGTGAGACTAGAAGGCTGTTCCCTGGTGCATAGGAAAGAGTACTTCTGAGCTGCTATCTCATGGTGAAATTGATTAGTTACAAAGCTCCCATGGGTGATGTAGAATCTCCACTTTAATATTTTGCAATTGAAAGGAGAGATTCTATAATAAGACGAAAAGCGATTTTCACTTGTTCACTTAATTTCTATTAATGGCTTTCTAAAATCGTTAATTTTTTTGTAAGAAACATTTCAACATGGGTTGCATGTCATTTGATTTAAAAAATCCTAAACAGAGATTTTAATTTAAAATTTTAAAATAAATATAATATTTAAAAATCAATAACAGGCATGTATTGCAAAATATTTTAAAAAAAACAATTATAAGGAAAAAACACTTTTGTACAACAGGGTATAAAATTAGATGCAAATACAAATACTCAGGGAAAAAATACTATAATGGCTAATGCAATAGTTTTACTAAATCATCAGGACATATCAAAGGGATTAAATATATTGCACATATATATTTATAATTTAATCTGATAGTAGTTCCTATGAGTCATCTTTATACATTCCAAACATGTAATAATTTGTTTTTATCTAATCAGATACTTGAAAGTCTTAGAAAGATCTACTAAATTAAACTTACATAAATTTAACCTACACAGCCCACTCTCTCCCACTGTCCTTGTTCATGCCTCAGATATCAAACCATCTTGAAGACAACACAAACAGAAATGGAACCGCACGGCATGACGGGACCTTCGTTGTACATGGCTGGCTCCCACTTAAATGAGAGGAAAGAATGCATAGCAATGTAAGTCTATAAGCACAGCTTCTGATTTAGTCCATGAATTATAGATGCACTTCTGAGGGGCCAATTCCCTTATGGTTTCTGATGCAAAAACAGTCGATAAATATCTAAGGCTCTTGACCCGATATGTTAATCAAGCAATGAGGTAGACACATCCATGGCCTCTCTATGCTAAGTTTAATTAATGGCATGTATAGCTGTAGAGTCCCCTTCAACTCCCCTTAAACACTACATAATGGGATACATTCTCCCACAAGGGCCTGGAAGTTTGTGTTTTCTAGTCATGAAGTTTTGTTCACTATTGTCAGGTCAGCACATTCATTTCTCAGCACTCCCAGTTCCCAACTGCTATTTAAGCTCTTAGTTCATTGAGTTCATCTGTCATGAGCCTGCTTTAACATGCTTGCCAAAGGCTCTAAGAACTATTCCCACTCTGCTATTTCTTTGTGTTAATGAATCACTTTGAACTAGTCAGATATATCCTCACCATTGAATGGAATTCCTCATGTTCAATGTAACAAAACCAGGCCGAATGCTTTGCACCTGCTCGCTCGGCGACATCATCTGTTCTTTTGTGAGATGTCAAGGGTATCTACAAGTCTGGGGAGAAGCCTGCTTGCTTCCTCAACATGATAAGGTATGGCACGAGGCCTGTGTGTAAAGATGTCAAGGCACATTAGCAAAATGAATAGGGAGAACTTATATATTTTAAAGCTATTCAGAGTTCTGAACTTGGCTTTCAAAATCCACTATTCTCTTTAATGAGATTACAATTCTGATCATTATGATTGTGATTAATTTAATATTAGATTTCTCTAGAATTCTTCCTCTAAATGGGGGTAACTCTGGTCCAGATGAGATTTGTTACTTCCATTTAGATTACAATTCTGATCATTATGATTGTGATTAATTTAGTATTAGATTTCTCTAGAATTCTTCCTCTAGATGGGGGTAACTCTGGTCCAGATGAGATTTGTCACTTCCATTTGGCATATCATTTATAAACTTAAAAACTATAGTTCCGTTTATTTGTTGTTGTTTTGTTTACAGGAAGCATCTCAGTGTCCTGTTTCTGCATAATCAAGAAATATGTCTAATTTAAGTCTCAAACAGGAATCGCATAATCCCAGAAAAAAGTGGTCTATGCCTCTCCAGACTCCGTAACAGGGCAGAACCACAAGTCATACAGAAAATATACGTATATTCAGACTTTAATCCAGTTCCTGAAGTCGTTACCAGGAATTTGCCTAGCTTATAGGAGGGACATGATACTTTCTCATAAGAAACAAATCATTAAAATCTCAGTCATTTTGACTTAAATCTCAAGATAAAGATTTGGGGTTTTGTTATATATTCTCATTGTGATCAGGACATGCTCTTTTGACTATGATTATCAAGATCTGGAATAAAGTCTGTCTGTCTACTTCCATAGTAGTTTACCCTTTTACAGTTTCCTCTTTGACAAACTGTCTTCAGGGGCAGAAGGGACAAAGGCTTGGGTCTGAGTGGTGCACACACATCTGGGTAACTGTTGATGGGTCTCACTAGACCAGTGATGGCGAACCTGTGTCACCTCTGACACGCGAACTCATTTTTTTGGTTGATTTTTCTTTGTTAAATGGCATTTAAATATATAAAATAAATATCAAAAATATAAGTCTTTGTTTTACTATGGTTGCAAATATCAAAAAATTTCTATATGTGACACGGCACCAGAGTTAAGTTAGGGTTTTTCAAAATGCTGACACACCGAGCTCAAAAGGTTCGCCATCACTGCACTAGACCCACCTGTGGGAACCTGGCAAAGCTAGACAGTGCTGACAGGTGCAGTGATGACACACTTGTGAGTTCCTTAAAGTAGACGGATAGCATCATGACCACCCATACATATTCATTCATTTATTTTATCAAACATTTTTTTCAGCACTGACTCCGTACCAGACTTTGAAAGTTAAAACACCAAGAAGACAGCAATGAACCAGACAGGCCCAATAATCTTCAAGGGGTTCTCTTCTACCAGCAGCCATCTTGCTCAGTCTTGAAGAAAATGCCATTTGCTTTTTTCCATTTTCATTCACTGAGCATTTTGAGCCCTTTCTGTTATTTATAGAAAGATTGAAAGCTGAAAATGTAATCCAACAGCATTTACTGCTAGTATAAGCAAAACACTATGGTAGGTGTTTTACGGCATGAAAACATGGCTAAGATTCCTTGGGTGCACTATATGATGAGAGATAGGAAAAGGAAGACACATATGTAAGTACTAGAGACCTGATGCACAAAATTTATGCGAGAGGGCATTTTGAGCCCTTTCTGTTATTTATAGAAAGATTGAGAGCTGAAAATGTACTCCAGCAGCATTTACTGCTAGTATAAGAAAAACACTATGGTAGGTGTTTTACAGCATGAAAACATGGCTAAGATTCCTTGGGTGCACTATATGATGAGAGATAGGAAAAGGAAGACACATATGTAAGTACTAGAGACCTGATGCACAAAATTTATGCGAGAGGCTTGGCCCTCGCAGCCCTGGCTTCATCTGGAAGGTCGTCAGATGGTCGTTTTGCTGTTCAGTCTAATTAGCATATTAGCTCTTTATTATATAGGATGCAAATAAAGAGAGCACGGTGGAGGGACAGTCTATCCCTTCAGGAATGGCTGTCACAGGAACAGAGAGTTGGTGGGACTGTTGCAAAACTGTGTAGAGATAGGTTATGGTGGGACCACATAGTAGATCCTTCATGAATAAAAGGAGAACTAGGGAGGGGAAAATGCAGATTGGGGACTGAGTTAATTCCTGGGCTGGAAGTAAAAGTTCAAAGACAAGTTTCAGAGAAAAATAAGGGAAGTTACAGAATTTTATAAAATGTGGAGCAAGTACAGAAAGACTCTTAATGTCATGCATGGCCCTTGAGCACCTTTACTTTTGAAGTTTCCCATCTGAAGATGTTCTAATAGACTTTCTAAATTGCCCTCATCATTCATGGTCCTTCTGAGACCTTACCTACTCCATTTAACCTTCTGCAACTATTGGAATCACGCAACTCCATTTGCCTATGAAAACAATCATGCTTATACAGTTACATAGGCTTAATGCTTATTTGGTTGAGTTTTATCTCCCAAGATGGTAAGCTATTGAAGGAAGTTTTTTCTGTCCCATCTTCCATGGTACATAGCAAGACACACAATGAGAGCTAAATAATACTTATGCTCTGACCAGACAACGTGTCTTAGAGCTACAAAAGTCCCTTGCAAATCCCGGTCAGCAATGACTTTTGTTGACTTATGATTTTAAGACTCTTTAATCAAATCTCTTACCTAGTATTTATCCAGTACTCCTATGTGCATATGCCAAGTACTATTAAAAAGATGGAACACTGACATAACCCTGACCTCTAGGGATGTGACTCAAGATTATTACAAGCATGACCCAAGCCTCAATTTAGAATACCAGACATGTGCCTTATTTCTTGCTTCAATAAATTGTTACCTGTACGTTCTATTATTTGAAAGAACTGAAATAAGTGCAGTATATATATAAAAAGTCTCTTCATATATGAAAATAAATGTACTCACCAGCTTATTTTTCATTTCTGCAATGCAAGTGTCTGAAATTTCAAGGATAAGTCTAATGTTCAGCATCCCTAATTTTCACAGTCCATACTTTAAGATAATGTCAAATCACCCTAGCCATCAAAAAGAACATGGTTTTTTCTTCATGTTTCTAAGTAGAAAAAATATGGAATTTTCCTTTGACATCAAAGCATATTTACAAATCAGCATCTGAAAATGCTAAAATAATTATCCAATAGTTTAAATTTAGGGAGAATACAACACTTCTTTTTTTTCCTGACAGACTGACAGTGTATTATAAATTCCAACCATTTACACTTTAAGGCCCCAGCTTCCCATGCCTGCCAGCTATGTCACAGCCTTGAGGAATTATGGCCATTTAATCAGGGTCGAGCATTTCCATGCTCAACCTTCAAGCAGGGATGCTGTGCCCATGTTTTCGCCGGTGATAGATGAATCTACTTACTCCACCGCTTCCTGCGTGACAATACTTTAGAAGCCTTGCTAAAGTTCACATTTCTCAATATATCAAAGTTTAGCAGCACAATGACCTTCTAATATTAGTTTTCAACTGTTTATAACCAACAGTTCATTACTTTGCCAACACAGAGAGGAAGGAAAGTGGCTGTTGTGCACTTACAGAAAAGGAGGTACTAGGGCTGGAAGTGGGATTGCGGGAAACCCCACAGAGAAAAGTTTAGGAAGGTGCTAGCCTCTTAAACTGCTGGAGTGACGAGAGGCAGTGTCAGAATTACAATAGTCTTACCTGCTTTTCATGTATTGCTTAAAACATGTTTGAGCGTCTTTCATGACATTTTCTTTATGGATATATGGATAATCATTTTTTGTTTGAAATTGTCACTCAGGTGCTCCTCTGGGTCACAGCCATTCAATCTACACCCTCTGGGAAAATCCAGAGGTCTCAATAGGCAAAGCCTATTCTCCTATGCTTGGATTTGGACTCTACTCACATATGTGCTTTCCTGCTCTGGTAGATGGGATCATATATGAGTGTAGCGGAATCCTTTTTGCCACTCAAGCTTAAAACCTAGCACAAAAAGAATACCAAATACTTTATGGTTATTTTTGTGTTTTATTTTTTTTAATTCTATATCCTGATTAGTGCTCTGGGTCTCAATATTCCAGTGTAGAAGTAAACACAACAAGTGTATTGACATGAATTCATAATCACTAGCATTCATGTGCCAGACAATATGCATTTTCTCACTTAACCCACTCCGTGATGTAGTTACCATTATCACCTTCATTTCACAGACAAGGAGACCAGAGATGAAATATCTGAGCTTGTCCACCCACACTATCAGAAAGGTGCAGAACAGGGACATGCCCCACCTCATGCAGCCTTATGTCAGAACCTGTCTCCCGATCACCACCTTATATAAGAGTGTAAGAGTATTTCTCACCAAGATTTAGAAGAAACCCTGCGTAAACCATCCAAAAATTCTTCCCTCCCCCAGGGCCCACTGTGAGCTTAACAACCATCTATGAATATGTGTTTGCATTTTTGGAATGACCCCAAACAAGCTATAATCCCACAGCACCATGTACCTTCAGAAATTCCTCAAAAGGTACTTCCTGTAGAACTAGATTTGGGCCTGTTTATTTCTCTTAACCTGACATCGATTCATTGTGTGTGTGTCCCAGTGTGGTGTGAAGATTTCATCACCCATAGTAACTCCAGTTGACTGAAGGTGGTTACATGGAGGGTTATGTCAGAACAAATTGTGAGACAATGTTAGGGGTCTCCTGCAAAGTGTTGTTACCTATGAATAATGATTGCTGTGGGTACTGGAGATATGAAAAGAGGCACACGTGTTAGTTGTTTGTCATCTAGCTCATAAATTCTTGACACAGAATGTCTCAAGAGTTGAGTGAAGAAGAGAGATCTTAAAGTTCTGAAGGTATTCTTGGACAATTTCCTTTCTGTTTCACTCTTTCCATCATTTATTCTATTATTTTCCCCTGTCTTATGTTAAAGTTGGGAATATCTATAATAGTAAAAGCATAATATGCTAATTAGACCGGACAGCCGAATGACCTTCCGGACAAAGCCAGGGCTGCGAGAGCTAAGGCAAGCCGCTGCGGCTGCAAGGACTGAGCCCCTTGCATGAATTTTGTGCATTGGGCCTCTAGTAGAGATAGGAAAGAGATCACCTGTAGTATCTCTACACATAACCAAGACCCTTGATGAAATCACTGGTAACTTCTTACAATTACATTCTCTCCTGAAGCCTCCTTTTAAATTCTAGTGGGAATAAGTATTACCCTAGGAAATTGTTTCAAATGCAGGTTCTGGATTTTGCTCCAAAAGATTCTGATTAAAAAACTCAGGGCAGATATCACAGATCTGCACCTAAAGGCCACTCCAAGTAACTCTGAGGCAAGGGCTATAATTTGACCAACACTCCACTAAACCCAAGTAAGTTGCCCTCTTCCCCATGAGCTGGGTCAGGATTTGACACCAGCCAGAGCATCTGTTCTCTTTTCTACATATAGGACACCCAGTAGTCTCCTTACAAAGTCACTGGGATATGTTTTAATAGGAGCATTATAATCCTATGTTTCAAAATGAAATTGGAGATGGCCTATTTCTGGGCTCATACGCCACTCTCTGCTCCACATTCTTTTGTGCCCCACTGTTTATTCCTTATCTATTTACCCTTATAAAGTTGCCTCACCTCTTTCCCTCAGAATGCTGCATTAATTATCTTGAGGATGGAATTGTGTTTTATTTTTCCTTTTCTTACTTAGAGTGAGCATACATAATAAGCATTCTTCCATGCTTGTTTAAGAGACTAAAACAGATCAGCCCTTCCTGTCTTCTTCAGCAAGTCCATTCCTGGCTCCCCATGCCTATTTATCTTGGTTATTCATGATGTTGATGAAGATAACAGCAACATCCACTACCTGAGCTCCTTTTCCAGATGCATAATTTCATGTTGTGCTGAGTATTACCTTCGTTCTTCATTTCACTTCTCATAATCTACTGAGGTTGTCAGTGGAGGCGGACCGGAGGAAAGTGGGCAGATGCTAATATGTAAGGTCCTTTCTCATCATGTGGAAAACAATGACCGCTGAACCCACAACCAATCAAACCACATCCCCTGGAGCTGCTGAGTGTAAAGACCAGGCTCTTGGGCATTAATCATTTCCATCCATGAATGAGGAGCTTGTGTGGAAAGGTAGTTATATTTATAAGCAGGCACACACACTCACTCCCGCTTCCCCCCACATACACACAAGAGTTGGACTTTTTAAGACACAAGGGTGTCTTTCAATTTATCTTTTTATTTTTTTAGACTTGTGTGGATATAAGGATTACAGGTTTCCTGCCTGTCCAAGAAGAGTGATCACTTTGCTCTCCAAGAACTTAACTCCCAGGCTTAATTAGTATGCACGTGTGCCAGTGTATTAAGCATGCAGGCTAAAAGCAATTTAAAGTGTATGCTGCATTGACTTTCAAATTATTTCATTTTTAATTCAGATGCATGCTTTTGTTAAGGCATTTATCACTTTTACATAATTAGCCAGATTGTTTCATGACTAGAGTCCCTCCAAATCCCTAGCCCCACCAGGTCCACATCCGTAGCAATAATTGACATTTCATACCCTCCCATGCTGAGTTAGGCTTAAAGGCTCCTCCCCAAGTGCCACACTTCATCTTTCCATGTAGCTCCTGCACATGGGAAATTTATTAAGTACTGCAGACCTTGTCATCCAGGCTGTTTGTTCTAAATTATCAAGCCATCCTGGTGTTCTTGGAAAAGAGGTGGACACTGTTTCACAGACACACTAAGGAGTCCTTGAAACTAATCAAATGGCTTGTCCATAAATCAGATCCATTACTTTCTCAAATGGGTTAGATTCATAGAAAAATTCAGAATCTGAGGAATTAACAGATCACCAAAGAAGCCTGAAGTCTTACCTAATGTTGATAACTTATCCCTTGCAAACATCAACCCAGTGATATGTAGACCATCAGCCTCAAAAGACCAGTAGTCAGTCCTTTACCTTCTAGAATGATCTTTAAACCTCAAGGGAGGAATGTGCATGTCAAATATTAAATCTGCATTTGTGATAGGGAGAGAATTTCTGGGATAACAAGCGTGAAAATTTCTTTTTTTCTTTCTTTTTTGTTGTTGTTACTTTGTCTTTAAGATTTTTAATTTTGTACTGAGTGTTTTTCCTTATTCCACACTTTTGGAGCTAATGGTTGGAGTCAGAGATAGAGAAGAGGAAATACTTGAAAAGTAAATGAAATTAAGAGGTATCCCAAAGGGAAACAGGCAAAAGTAGAGGGTGTTTCTGATTAGCTTGATGATTTAGGTGTTTTTTTTTTTCCTCGGATAAACTTAAGAGCAAAAGGAAGAAATTTTAGATTTATGACAAAAGATGTGTGTCTGTGGCACTCAAGAAAATAGTTGATCCCTTACTATTAAAAATAGGATGGTGATCCCTAAATAACAGGGATAGACTACAATGAGATACATGGCACTGTTTGGTAAAACTCTAAAGTACTATATTCATCGTATATCACATTGTTTTAGAGAGAGAGGAAGGGGAAGAGAAATACTGATGTGAGAGAGTAACATGAAACATGGATCAGTTGCGTCCTGCAGCCACCCAACCAGGGATCAAACCTGCCACTTCTCGGTGTATGGGACAACACTCCAACCAACTGAGCCACACTGGCCAGGGCTATCATAGGTCACACTTTTACTAAAAGTTTAGTGTTTAAGTCAGAAATTTGATCTCTGAAAATTTTAATCTGTTTTTATCAGCTCTTATAAATAAAACTAACCTAAATAATACATTTAATTTTGGCTTAGGGGAAGATTACAATTCCAAAAACAATAATTCTAGATTTCAACTATTTTACCAAATAATAAATAAATAAATAAATAAATAAGCTATTTGCTTTTGTTACCTGAAAAAAAAAAAACAATAATTCTAGATTTCAACTATTTTACCAAATAAATAAATAAACAAATAAATACATAAATAAATATGCTATTTGCTTTTCTTACCTGAAAAAAAAAGAGAGATGACACCAATGATTAGTTCAAGACATTGCATCTTCTCTCTCATCTTACTGTCTTTCTCACCCCTGCAAGTAGTAAAGGAACTGTGCAATCCCAGTGAGCAGCTGAATAAAAATCTGGGATTTTTATGTCCTAATTTGGGATGACCCTCTCCTTTCTGACTTGGAAGAAACTGTCCTCTTAGTGCTGCCAAGGAAACTCACATCCCTTTCCCCCCTGACTTACACCCAGGGTAGCTGGAAGATTCATCAATAAGTATATCCAGGTTTAAGCCAACCAATAAAACTAAAGAAAGAAAAGGCCGTGTAGGTAGAATATATGATATAAGGTGAATATGAATAACAGCGAAGAGAGTTCTGTGTGTCACTAATGGAAACTTGGCCAGTTCCTACCTATTAATGAATAATATTCTGACAAGCTAAGAGCTAAATTTAAGTGAGAATGTGGAGATTCCAGGAATCTTGAAACTAATTAAGATATAAATATGAAGATCCTGAAAAGCACAAGGATAGATTTGGGGAGAGGAATGCAGCAGCAAATGACATCATTACCCAGTGAGTAGTCTCAGATGAGGTAGGTCATCTAAGTAGAACTGGGTACCTGGAGGACATGAAAAAAATTTGAAGAGTTTTTGCAGGATGTAAGGAAGAGAACTTTGTATTTTTGGCTTTTGATCCTTATATTGATCTACTTATATGCAGGAAAATAGAGTAAGTCAAGTTGGTGTGAGAAAAAATGAAACTGATTTTCAATGGCTTGGGAGGGGGTAAGTGGGGCACAGTGGGAGGAGCATTTCTGGCCACTCCTGGGACAGCAAATGAGACAAGAAGTCCCATGAGTGTTAGTAAAGCCCGCAGTGCAGTGTGTGGAGAAAGAGAGCGCTCACACTCAGAGATTTGCTTTTTGTTCCATCTGAAACCAATCAGTAAGCAAAAATGCAGAAAGCTCTTGGCATCTACTCCACCATTGATGCTGGGGGAAGGAAAGAGGCTTTGTACAGAGACCCCCATTACCACTAATGGAAAGTAGGCGGGTAAGTCCATGTGCACGAGGAGCAAACACTGCCCTTTGTGTGGGGGTAATTAAGAGCTAAAAAAAGTGTCCAGTTGCTCATGACTAACACACGCTGGTGGTGAAAGCCCCTTCCCAGCAGCACTCCAGTTGCTTTCTTGTGTTTCAATGGTTGGAGCTTAACAGTTGTTGACCACCTCTCACCCTAGTTCCTTTATAGAGGAATGAAAGGGAATGATGTGTTGGAAATGACATTATTTGATACTATTGGCAGAGGGGCTTTCAAGGAGAAAGTAAAGGCAAACAAGGGGAGAGGTTCAAAAGGAATCTAAAATTAAGCAGAAGAGAATCGTCAGTGGTTCAAGGGAAATAAGTTCGCCCTCATAATGTCCTTGCCAGCATCCCCTCCTTTGGAACTATGGCAAAAAGAGGAGTCATACATGGACCAAAAATTTGGATTCACATGAACATCATGCCTGAAGCCCACAGCCTTACATTTGGGAAGAAAATGCTCCAATGACTGTAGGAATGGGGAAGAGAAGGTGAGGGTTAAAGCCACCCCCTTTCTATTCTTCTGCTCAAGACCTGGCAATACAGTTCCAGAAATATCTGAGTGCATTAAAAATACCTGTATCTTCCCAGGGAATGTTCAAGCCTCAAAATCAACCCTTGAACTTGACCCAGCAGGTTGGATCCATATAAGCAAACAACACAATGCAATTTTACAAGTATGAAATGCATGCGAAGTCTCTTATTTATTAATTTAATGGATACAGCATGGGGAAGTTCTGACTGAGGAACAATGAAAACACATTTTAATTCACTGAAAATTCAATAAGCATTCAAAGCATATTCACCTTTGAATGGCCAGCTCCCTACCTGGAGCCTATCATGCCATATAATCTCAGCCTAATGACTAACTGACAATAAGTAATGGAGGTTGTTATATAAGCTAATTCAAAACTGACTACACTTCTTATCTTGAAAGTAATCAGTTTGTTCTATGTTTCTCAGTTCAAATCTAGAGTAGTGTTTTCCATCTTAAGCAACAAAATTTCAGAGACACA